ATCTTCTGCTGCCTTCATTCCAGAAAGTTTTCTTGAGATCAGTTTACTACCTGCAGAAGAAATAAAAAATGTGTGCCAGACAGCAAGCAGCTGCCTGCACTCGGCCCTTCCAGAAAGCTGCCTCGAAACAATAGTAACAGCAAAGGTACAGAATGAACTGGACCATTTTGTTTTCCATTCATCTTAAATAAATTTGTTTTTTTCAAACCCATCTCAGAGCTGTTTAAATAATAACATTATAAAGGCAGGCAGCCTTTGTGAAATACCACTCACAAAAATAAGCCTTTGTAATCAACTTTTTCTTTTGCACGACCATACAGGGTTTTCTGCCCCTTTGGTGAGGACCCTCCCCTCACACTGTCGAGGCTGTAAGGATTCAGCAAGACGCCATCTGTAGCACATGCAGACATGCCTCCCTGTCTCCTACCATCTGCTGTTTGTATTCTCTAAGCACTTCTCTTGGAAATGAGCAATCATTTATCACACTTCCAGCACAGGCTTATCCTCAGGAGATATTAGACATTGCAGTGCCTAATATTTCACCTTTGAGTGGTATCTACTTATTTTTTCCCCTGTTCTTTAAATCCCTTCTAACCAATCTTATGGCACTGCTTCCCTGAACAAAGCAAGAGAGAAACAATTACCTGGTAATTTTTCACATTCTCAAACAAAGTCCTAAACACAATGAAAGTTCAAAATCCTAGCCAGCATTAACTGGGAACACTTTATACCTAATTAAGAATGGAATAAACTAACACTAAGTCTGTAGAAATGAAAAAGCAAGGGTAACCAAGAACCTGCTGCTGGATATATCCAGTTTTTATCATGTGACAAAATTTAAATAAAATAACAAGTAATTTAGAGTTTTTGTGTTCCAAATCACACCTCAAGTGTGATCAGAGTGTTCCTCTCTCCACCTCCACAGACTGAATTAGCTCTGAGTTCTGTGAGGTTTACCTGTATTAGAAGAATCTGTAGGGAGGAGCTATCTGCTAACACTCACCTGAGATAGAAAGAATAAAGAAGCAACCTACCATTTGCTGTAGATTAAATGTCTGAAAAAAGAAAGTGAACTTGAACTGCCAGCAAGATTTATCCAAAACTGTAATGCTCATATATTCAGAAGCAATGCATGTTAACATAGTATGTTTGCATCACAAACACAAAAGCTAACATTCATATCATACATTGGAAGGCCACGTCCTCAACAAAGTTATTGTGCAAGGATGCAGCTTTGGTCACCACACCTCCCTTACTCTCATCATTTGAAACCAAATTGCCAGGTAACATTTTTACCTTCTAAATGAGAAACTTTTTCTCAAAAAAAAACCCATAAAAAAATAGCTTCAACAAAATACATCAATAGCAATTTTAAATTGTGTATAAATAAGAGGTTTCAATTTTCACAAGACAGAAATAACAGGGAGACAACAAAATTTACACAGACAAATTTTTCCAAAATACATATAAAACTTAATAACGCCTTGTAAAATGCTGACACTTGGAGATAAAACAGCTGACAAAATTACAAGCTGATGTAGAAGTAATAATATCAATATGAAAAAAGCAAGTTAAAAACCCAATAGCATACCCTGCACAAGCATACAGGTGTGCTGTGGCTGATGTTTTTCAGTGACACTGGCAACTTTGTGGTTTCGTCTTTAGAAATGTCAGCTGAGCACCCAGTCATGATCCGAAAGATAAAAGCAGTGGAACGTCAGGAATTACCAAAGGCAATGAGTGCAAAATGCTAGACAAACAGATGATATGCATACAGTTTCTGTACTGTTGTCTTTAAAATATCTCCAAGTTGCATTGGTCATAGTGCCAGAAAAACATCAAATGTATGTTTTTCAGAGTCTAGTAGCATCCATAGCCAGCACCTCATCTTTCACCTGATGGGTTTAAGGACAAAATTCACCTCATAGGCACTCTTCACTGAGCTGAAACATTGTTGGTTGTGAAATCCATTTTCCCAGTTCCCAGACACTTGGAAAAGAAACATACTGCCTATTTTCATTAATTTGATATGGGACTTAATCAACTCAAACTTTCATATGCTACTATTTTATAAAAAAACAAGGCAAAACAAAATCCCAAACAAAAAAAAAAATTAACTTCACACAGCTTCTCATTGGCATTATTGTCATTCATGGCTTGTGTTATCCACAGTGCCCAAACTTACAAGCACGAGGTATATATACCATCTGAGTTCCTATTGCAGCCCACAGAGTAAGTAGCTTCTGTTCAGAGGTGCATCACAACAACGACAGCTGGGGGTCAGTCTTTAAATCCCCAACATCACCTACTTAAACAATAAATCTTAATGAGGCCATTCATTTTTATATCAAACACACACAGATAAGCTTCCTGAACTGAGGTCAGCATGCTCAGAACTTGGAAGGATCAAGCCTAAGTTTTGGATTTACATTTGAAGGAATAGCTTCAGGAATATTCTTCTGACCTCCTGATCTAATCCTAGGAATATTTGTTATACCAGACAGTATATAATAAAGGTTTTCTTACAATTACTTTGGAATGTCCTGTACTCTCCATTTCCTGGTTTTGCCCTGCAGAAGTGATGCTCCCACCTTCCGCTTATTCCAAGAAAACTCTCTGCCATGCCATCACTCAAGGAGCACCTGCTGAGCTGATAAACAGATCGAATAGCAGGCTAATGATTTCAAAGCACCCGGGGAGGGTGGCCTGTAACACTGCCACATTCTCAGGCAAATGAACTGGAACAATTAAAAGGAAAATAAATGCATGTATTGAAAGATTAAATTGGAGACTTTCTTATCTGCTTCCTTCCATTTCAAAGCACAGTGAGTTAACTAGGCCTGACTCTTTGACAGCAGTCCATTTCAGTGGCACAGGTTTGTCTACCTAACAAGAACCTTTTGTTTGCTACAGCTGTGAAACCTCAGTGCACTGTATTTTTCCAGTTTCCCAGGTTACCTTGGCACTAAACCATGCTAGTGACTGCAAAATACTTTTAACTGCAGATTTGAGGGAATATAATACCCAATACAAGTTGAATTATGGCTTTCAGTGAATTCCCCAGAGCAGCAATGCTTAAAATCAGCTGTGCTCAAGAAGCCTCTGAAAGTCCTGGGCATAACCGAGGTCTGCACTCTTTGCTCTGTCACAAACTGCATCACATTTTTCTTTTTCATTCCCTTCCCCTTTCTCATGTTACTCTGTTGGGGTTGTCCAGTTCAGAGGACTGAGAGAAATCTCATTGCTCTCTGCAGTTCCCTGAGGAGGGGAAGTAGAGGGAGGTTCCAGGCTCTGTTCCTAGTACTGATGACAGGAGGGGAACAGCACATAGCTGCCCTGCAACACGGTCAGACTGCACACAGGGGAAAATGTTCTTTACTGTGAGGGCAGTCAAACACTGGAACAGGCTCCCCAGAGAGGTGGTTGATACTCAATGCTTAAGAGGTATTTGAATAATACTAGCTTTTGGCTAGTGCTGAAGTGCAATTGGACTTGATGATGTGTTAAAGTCCCTTCCCTTCTCTTTTTCTTTTTCTCATCCATTCCATTCCTTTTCAGCTCCATTAGTTGATGCAGATAGGGGCTGTGACCAATCCTTCCAAAGTAATTAAATGTAAGAAAGTAGTACATTTGAAGAAACTTTAAACTCTGGAGATAAACTCCTGCTCTATGGAAATAAATTATCTTCTGTCTTTGATTCTGTGAGGGACAGATGAAATTCCAAGCACATACACAGATAGTGTTAATAAGGTACCCCAAGGCACAACAGAATATAAGCTAACATAAATACTTTGAGAAAATGTAATTCCTGCTATTCTATGGCTTAAGAAGGTCCCAGATAGATGAAATGGCAGTGAATCCTTCTCACATGGGCTAAATGGGCAGGAAACTACCAGAGTTTTAGTGTATGGTATAGACCAATTGGTCTATAGCATGGAATACATATCAAGAAACTCCCTTCATGCCCTATGCAGTAGGGAATTATAATCAGGGCTGGGTTTTGGGTTTTTTTGCTTTTTTGTTTGGTTTGGTCGGTTGATTTGTTTTTTGGGCTTCCAGCAGCTATAATCAAATGGCTTAAGAAGCTCTTTCTTGGTCGTCTGCAGACAGACCTAAGGTCCTCTGCACTGGACCAAATATTCAGCTAAACTGTATGCATTGTACTCAACTAAATATACACATTGTGTGACATATGCCCTGCAGCAAGGTCTTCCGAATGGGTTTACTCTTGAGATATTTAAGATAACTCAGGGCAATGGCTCACTGATGCTAAACACCAAATGGATACTACATTCCTTATACCATCTGATCTGACAGAAATAAAAGTTGAACAAAGACAACTACTGCTTAGTGTCGTTCAAGTAATAATTTGACTACACATGAGAAGGTATGAGATTTAGCGGACATCAGTGTGGTGGGCAAAATACTTTCAAGTATCGCTTTTTACTCTCTATGTACAACTTACCTACTAGGGTGAATGCAACATAAGTGACAAATCCTGGTAATTTTTCCTTGTCCATGCTCTATGCAAAACTTAAAATATCACGATAGTACAGCATTTTTTTAATTAAGTTTTTTATTTGTATTTGTTGGTATTACTGCAGCACATGACATAAACTAAGTTTCCAGTATATTGACTACCTACACTGTGTAGAATACCATACAGTCCTTACTTGAAAAGACTGACAACTTAAGTTCATGAAAAACTCAGGCCCAATAAAGCTTCACATCTTGTCTACAGTCAACAAGAGAGATTGTGGCAGAAGCCATTGAAGAATTCGAGGGCAAAATCTGGCATCACTGGAGTCAGTTGCAAAACTCTTACTACCTTCAGCAAAACCAGGATTGAAACTGTATGCTTCTGCTTTGTACTCCTTTGCTCAGATGAATCAAATCTGGCATTTTGTCATATTTCTACTCTTTGTACCTTTGCACCAAACACGTTTTTCCTGTAACTCCTGTTTATGAACTGATAATAATATGAGAATATAATTAGGATGTAACTTTGTGAAAATCTATTAATCTCTGTCCAGAAGCTCACTAATTAAAATAAGAAATCTTTTACAAAGATATGTCCAAAATTTACATTGTGATGTTTTTTCACAATATATCCTGCTTTGAAATGCTACTTCAACGCTTATTGTCCTTTATCCTGCAATTCTACTGGTGCATTTAATGAGACATTTCTTTCAGATGTAAGTTGCTTCTTTAAAATAAAGAGAGTTAATAAACCTGGAATAAAGGACAGTCCACGTAACAATGCTGGCAGGCCAAGGTAGATCCACCTGAAATAAAAGATGTGCATTGTGAAATATGAGTATTCATGAAAAAATAGCTAAATTTGTCACCTACATCTTATTATGATAATTGCCCAGGTGCTCTAAAGCTGGTGCCCTGATCCTGGATCTCAAGGAAGATGAAACAATACTAGAAAAAGGAATATATCAGTGGCAGTGAAGTGGCTATTTACATCACTCAGTTTCAGGCAACTAATTTAACTAGATAAGTCAGCCACTGTTATCTAGCCACAGTCTCCTTGCAGCTTTCTCTGTAGGGAAAAAGAGAAAGAGACCTGAAAAGGGCAGCTTAGACAAGAGTAAAACTTCTGGATATTCATGTGTTAGCCTTCTTTCAAAACCAACCTCTTTACATAGTATTATACAGAACCAGTCTGAGACGAACGATTCCTGCAGTGCTTCCTGAAGGACTAAAAAAGGTATGAAATGTAGTCGTTTAGATCAAATTCCAACTTGTGTAACTATATAACATCTAAATTTCCCCTAGAAGTTCAATTCAAGTACTATTTCAACAGGTTGGTATTTTCAGATATACAGTATAAAGAGACAAAAAAATGCCTGACATTTTTTCCACAAGAGTTTACTGATTTTAGATCTTTTCATCAGAATTTAAAGGTGTGTTCTCCTGAAAGATTGTGAGTGAATGTAATTATGTTTCCCGAGAATTCCTGGCTAAAGGATATTCCAGCATCTGTGACAAAGGCTGCACTCAACAAATGAAGCCAATACCAAAGAAATGTGGTGTGTCAAATTTATAACATAGGAACAGTTTGTCTACTAGAAGAATAAGGAGAGCACACAGTTGCACCTATGTGCATTTAATAATACAGCAAGAAGGAGAAAATAGTATGAAGTAGGAAATATACCTGTATTTGACTATGTCGTATATCCTACATGCTCCTTCTCCGCCACAGGACTTAGTACCCCATTTCATGCATGTGGTATCTATCAAAGCTCCAAAAAAAATGGGAGATGGAATTCCAGCTAGAAAGGATATTAGCAATGTTTTAGTGAATAGCATTTTTTTTTTCTGATTAGCAAATGCACCAAAGATTCTACACTGTTTCTTATCTACTCCATCTGCCCTGTCATCTTCCAGTAAGACCCATGTTTTCTTATTCACCTATCTTGAACAAAAGATTGTATTTCCTGTTGCATGTTATCGAATATATTCATTAAAATATGGACTGTGACTAAGAACAAAACTCAGTATTTACTCTCATCAGTGACCATACTGCTGTGTTCAGTGAACACTTGGTAAGAGCAAAAAAATGTAGATGACTTTCAGATGAGTGCCAGATCTAGACAGCCTATTCTACAGTATATGAAGGCTGCTCTGAAAATAATGCCTCCTGTTTTATTCGGTTGGCCCACAAGGCTAGAGCTGGATGCTGGTGGTATGGCAGTAGAGGCTGAACCTTCCTACCAGTATCCCCTTAGATTTTATTGCTATGTGACAGATGGCGGCAGAGGGGCAATCTGACAAAATGGTGTCTGACATGGAATTGCATGAAACAACGGTGTGTCACTGAATTCTACCAAGGAAAAAAATGACACCCACTGACATCCACTGACTCCTGCTGAACATTCTTAGAGAGCAGAGTGGATGTGAGCACAGTGAGGTGGTGATCAGTACGTTTCAGCAATGGTGACAGATGTGAAATGCGAAAGACAAGTCATGTTCCAAATGGCCACGCAGATGTTTACAAGTGTGGTGTGCAAGGGTCTCGTTCATCGCTGGTGAAAACGCATAGTTAACAGTGATGACTGTGTTGAAAAACAGTGCTCTGTATTCGAGAATTTGCTCTATCAGTGTTGCTGTATTGTTTGGATCTGTTGTAGTTTCATGGAAATACATAGGAGGCATTACTTTTGGAACTATCCAAGTAAATAAATGACTGCTCTCATTTCCAGTGTTGCCTAGATCCATAAAAAAGGAAAAAACATTTTCTGTTCAAAGGCACTACTCCTGTGTCATGCTCTTATGGGTCCTGGTGTGATCCATATAGCTGCTGTAGACTAACTATGCTTCTGAAGTGTGTTAGAGCTTTTCTTACCAAATACTCTTGCAGCTAGTTCATGGACACCCACTCCAAATGACTTTTCTTCAGGCTTTAGAGACCTGTATTGTGATTATATTGTAAATAGATTAACAGAGGTGACCTAAAAAATAAAAATACTTTTCCATTTTTTTTCTTTTCTCTTCAATCAAAATCTTTATCACATTAGGTCCAAACCATTCCTATTAGACGAGAGTTTGAAAGAGTTCATTATCTTCATTAGATGACATTCCTTAACTAGGACTGCTAAATCACAAAAAGAAAAACCATTTTCCCAGTGTTATTCACTTGGACAGAAGCCAGCATGAAGTCCAAGAATGTACAGTGGCTTTATCAACATCATGTTGACGTAATCAATAAAGAAATTGGTATTACACAGCCCTACATTCATTCAGGGTAAAGCTGATAGCAAAAGCAACCAAATTTAGCACAACATCAAACCTTAATAAAGCACAGAAATGACATAATAGTTTTTCTTTTCTTCCTCCCTCAGTGCACAAACCAAAAACTTTTATTTCCTGGGGTATCTGACTAAGAGTAAAAAGTCGTGTAGTTTTTCTAAGGTATGGACATTATACTGTACCTTATTAAGACCATGAACCCAGGCATTGCTGCTAAGGAAAAAATGAAGCTGCCAACTAATTGCAGTATTAAAAAATATTGAAGCATCTTGTCACAGTTTTTTCCTTTGTCACATTGGCCCAGAACTGCAGAGGCATTTTGAAATGGAAATTCTGGGGCTGCAACACAGGTGCAATTTTCAAATACCTGCCAAAAGAGTATTTTAATCACACAGACTTGTCAAAACTCACACACTGAGAATGACATTCATGCATTTGGCACCTAGCTCACTCTTCCTGCTCCTGAGTATTTTGCACACATGCAGCACTGTGCTGTGGCCTCTTAACCAGTCTGCCAGGCACAGGTCCAACTTGTGGTGTGTGGGGTTAGAGGCAGGGAGGGAGCTGTGTTGTTTTTACATGGCTGGCACTACACTTCCTCAAGAATGCCATGATCAAATGAGCTGTTACATTGCCAGCACTGCCTGCTTACATGGTTCTTCCAGCACCATTAGATTTGATTCTCTTTTTCACAACCAATATTTGTGTTTTTTGTTTTTTGTTTTTTAATTTATAGGAGAAAAATAGAATTAAATCCATGCTATAGACTTTCATTTTGAACAAAATGTTCTTGTGCACTCAAGATTCCAATTTGCCATACTTTGAAAACAATTTCTCACACTATTTTAAGATCCTTTTAGTTGTAAAAAAAAAAAAAAAAAGAGAGAAAAAAAAAAAAACCTCTTCTTCACTATATTCTTTAATTTACATTTAATATAATTTTCATATTCTATTTGGAATTTCTGATTCTATCCAATGAATTTGTCCAACTCTACTTATTACCTTAATCCAAGTAAAAGTACATCCCCTTATAATGATACGGCGATTTCTCACCTACTGTGTTTCATAGCTACACCATAATAGAACTGATGCTTTACCACACTTTTTCCAGTTCCTGTTGAGGCCTTACACCCAGCCAGACAAGATGACACATAAGTGATTCCATTGTTCGCACAAACTGGGTCCCACACTTTAAGTGTGCAATTACAATCTCTGTTGCAGTCAGCAAGTAGAGTATTTTCTGCATATGACAATTGATCTATTCTGAAATACATTTAGAAGATGAGGAAATATTTTAGTAATGACATAACTATAGTAACTCTTTGAAGTTTTATTCTATTCTATTATTATTCTATTCTAGCTTGAAGGTTGAACCAACACACACAATCCTACATGCTTCTGTCCTGGACTCGGAATGCAGAATTATGCCTTTCTGTCTTTCTACTGGCTGTTATTTCATATTATATTAGTCACAGTACATCATATTACATTATGTTATGCTATCTATTAATAGGTGGGTATGCATAAGCTATAGATTTTTTCTCATCTGTGACATGTATGTTCTTGATTGTCTCTAAATATTAAATAAAAGTGCATGTTCATTTTCCAGACACATGACTACCCATAATGATTAATAGCAGGCTTCAAATCAAGAAACTGCAGGTAAGATACCCTCTTACAATTCCTTAGAAATAAAAGTTCTATTGAATTAAAGGAAGATATTGTTTCCCTCTGTAATTCTGAAACTGCATTGATGTATATTTGATTTGACACATATATTTAACCTGCTGTTACTTTGCTTGAATGTATAATTAAATTAGTCAAAGAATTAATTTGAATGTGCTGCTGTATGAGAGTGGCAACTAAAATGTACCTGGCTCTGTTTCTCAAAACTGTGGAGTTCCTGGTTAATTCCTGGCAAGAAAAATCCAGGTTGCACCTTAAAGAACGTACCCTTCATAGGAGACCGTTAGGCCAGCAACTGGTGAAGTGTCACAGATAGTCCAAAAGGCAGTAAAGTACAGAAGGTAATCCAGAAAAGTTACCCAACATGCTATATGTGCAGCCTGGTAGGTATTTATCTTGAATTTCTTCATAAATAAGCCTCCAAAAAAGTACCCAAGGCATATAATTGGTATGTTGTAAACACCTATTTTAAAAATTAAAATGTCCATGTTAAAATAAAGAAGGAGAACATCAAAGCTACTTGTAAAGGGTGACTGTTTTGCAATGACTCGTATAGCTCCTGTGACTGAGTAGTTTAACTAAAGTTGGAAATGATGCTCTACTAGTTCTCTTGCACACCCAAAACGTCTGTGGAAGTCAACAGCAGCTGTGAACTGCTAGGAGAGCTGGAGGATAGAACTAAAATGATTCAGTGGAAAATTGCTGTCTGCAGTTGCAATTTAATTCCAACACACATACAAAACAGGGTTTTGGTACAGCTTTCCTAATTGTGAGAGAAACCCAGTGGGAGCAGGTCTTGAAGCACACTGAGCATAATGGATAGAAGGAACAGACATTAAATTTCGGTACGGGTTTGTTGAATGTGCTCTCATTCTTCTCAGCTGTTAGATACCTTAACGAGGAAAATAGTGACTGAAGGACATTTAGGAACTAGTTTAACATCACCACCATATGGTTTTGTTGGCACTGCTCAAGGCAATGCTGGTTCTCTAACAATCCTTGACTGTCAGTGAGCATGGAGGATGCAAGGAAAGGGGAAGACTATTGAATGTGACAAAGGATTCTCTCAAAGTACTGTATACGTAGGTACAGAAAGCAGCTTGTCTTTAAAAAAAATCCAACAATGTAAAGTCAGCGCAAAAAAGAAAGGATGATGTTTACATGCCTTTGAATGAACAATTTCAAAACACTGGCAACAGAGAATTATAGTAATACTTATACAGTCTGGGACATTGTGTTTTCTTGGGATTAAAGAAATTATGTGGCTGCTGTGGAGATAAGCACTGAGTTAAGGAACAGAAGTATGGCTAGATGTATTTTAAGATTTTCCTTCTGTGGTGATTCAATAAATTCTAATCTAATTAAGCCAGAGCAGTTAAACAAGAGAACACTGAGAATTTAAGAATTGAAAAAGAGGAGCTATAAGAAGGCTCTGACACTTTCAGGGTATTTGCTTTGTGCCACAACTACTTGTCATTACTGTTTCCAAATGTACACAGCCTTCTTGTCCCTGCTCATAGAAAAAAGACATGCTCATAAAGAGACATAAAAAAACATTTGGTCAGTGCTTTCTTCCCACGGAGTTCTGCATGTGAAAGAGGATCTGTTGGTTTCAGAAGACTCAAGAACATTTGAAGAGTAGAGATGATGGAAAGTATTGAATTGGCAATTTTAACTACACGTACACTCAACCCATCTGTGTCTTAAGAGTGTTAAGAGCATTGTATCCATGAACATGAAATATACCCTCTACTTTAAAGAACTACTTTTAAACAAAGATGATATAAGCATTGGTCTCCCACACATTCTTAATGTGAACTAAAATAACCTCTCTGAAATCAGTCGTTTAAGTTTTACATCAGCTGAACTTTTGTAGAATCATAGAATCACAAGGTTGGAAAGGACCCACAAGATCATCTAGTCCAGCCATCCTCCTATCACCATTACTACCACTAAGCTACTAAACTATATCTCGTAGCTCCTCATCCAGCCTGAGGAACAACATAATCCAGCCTTCTTGATCAACAGAATCATAGAATCACAAGGTTGGAAAAGACCTACAAGATCATCTTTCTGACACAATTCAACTGATGAAAAGGGGATTATTAAATTTTTGACAGAAAAACAGAAGATTCTTAACAGAAAATGCATGGCTATTTAGAAATGTTTTTTAGTGTGGAATTTGTCATTTATAGAAGCATTTTCCCTTATGTATATGTGTGCATACGCACATTAATATACATACACGTGTGTATATATATGTATATATACATATATATATATATATATAGGGAGTTTTAACAGAGATATGGTATAACAGAATGAAGCAACTTTACCAATTAAAAAGATGGCATCTGATGCAGATTTCCCAAATTGCTGTTCCAGATATTTAGGCATGAAGGATATCATGCCAAGGAAGGCGCTGAACTGTAGCACACTTATAAGTATAAATAACATATAAACTGGGTTGCGAAGTAAAGCCTTGAGGAACGGGAAGAAATCTGAAATGAAATAATGCAATGAGTTAGCATGATCCTTTATGAAATGAACCATACGTTGTTCAGTGTTGCTAAGAGGAAAAAGAGAGGATGGTGGTTCTTAAATGGATCAGGATAATTCTTGTGCTTTGCCAGACACCATATTTCAAAGATTTATTGGTTATTTCAGGCTACCCTGACACGTTTCTTCTACACAGAGACAGCCTCTCACCCACTTATCCTCGGTAAGGCTACTGCTTATGAAAATCATAGTGATAATTTGATCATGAAAATTTCAGGAGACTTTTAGCTTTTCAGTGTCTGAACTTTGCACTTGCGGATTGACAGCAGCAGCTACTCCACTATCTTTCCTACTACTTACCTTAGCCCATGCCCTAAAGTGTTCACAAAAATCCTTTTTCTGCACCTGCCAGGCAAAGGGAGTACAAAGAGAGAGGGGTGCAAACACACTGGGCACCTATGATTACATGCACCAGACATGCGATTACAGAATCACAGAATGGCCAAGGTTGGAAGGGACCTCAAGGATCATGAATCTCCAACCCCCTGCCACATGCAGGGCCACCAACCTCCCCATTTAATACCAGACCAGGCTGCCCAGGGCCCCATCCAACCTGGCCTTGAGCACCTCCAAGGACGAGGCATCCACAGCCTCTCTGGGCAGCCTGTTCCAGCACCTCACCACTCTCTCGGTAAAGAACTTCCCCCTGACACACAACCTAAATCTTCCCTCCCTCAACTTAAAACCATTTCCCCTTGTCCTGCCATTATCAACCCTTTCAAAGAGTTGATTCCCCTCCTGGTTGTAGGTTCCCTTTAGGTATTGAAGGGCTGCAATGAAGTCACGCCGCAGCCTTCTTTTCTCCAGGCTGAACAAGCCCAGCTCCCTTCATAGGGTCTTCATAGGGGAAGTGCTCCAGTCCCCTGATCATCTTTGTGGCTCTCCTCTGGACCCTCTCCAACAGCTCTCTGTCTTTCTTGTACTGGGGGCTCCAGACCTGGACACAGTACTCCAGCTGGGGCCTCACAAGAGCAGAGTAGAGGGGGACAATCACCTCCCTGTCCCTGCTGGCCACCCCTCTTTTGATGGAGCCCAGGACGCCATTTGCCTTCCGAGCCGCAAGGGCACACTGCTGGCTCATGTTAAGTTTTTCATCCATCATGACCCCCAGGTTCTTCTCCGCAGTGCTGCTCTCAAGGATCGCTCGGTTATTACAACTATTAGCAGTGTGGCAGAAAAGGCCTGAAAAGGGAAGTGCCTGCAGTCATTCCCATCAAATGCTCAAAGTCTGCATTTTCCAGTCTTCAGCTAAGTAAAACAATGAGAAACTAATTTGTACTTGTAATGTCTTTTCTATGTGCAATGTTTATTAATTATTGAAACAATAAAAGAAATTTAAAAAAAAAGAAATAAAAACAATAAAAGAAATAAAGAAAATACAAAAAAAACAATAAAAGTCATCATTTTATAATGTTCTCTATTATCTAACGTGCTGAGCTGACATCAGGAAACTACAGGAAAACGTGAACTTGTGTACAACAATGATAGTTCATCTATGCACTTATATTTTCAACTAACACAAAAATACAAGATTTTTAAAAGCAGCTTCCTGCAGGTATATAGTTTCCCAGGCTTGCAGATCTGAAAAACCACAGATGTGAACACTGCTAACAGTAACATGAATAAATGTAAATGAAATAGATTTTTGCTTAACAGTCTCATAACATTCAATGTTCATGAGACTTTTAAGCATCTGTCTATTCCCTTTGTGGCATTAAGTTGGACATTGCACCAGCCTTGTGCTGCTTTCCAGCTTTTCTACCCAGTGAATGTGAGGTACAAGCATCTAACATCTGCAACTTGTCCAAAGTTGCACTCACCGAGGTGTAGTATTCTTAACTAGATTTCAGTGCATTAATCCCAGCAGGAAGAAAAGCTACAAATCCATATACATCTGAAGTGTCGCAGGGAGAAAGGGGTGAATTCTGATCCTGAATCTATGAAACCTTCTGCCTCTGTGAAGAGACATTCTAAATTCTAGCTCAAATTCTTTGTACTACAAAGAGTAGAAAATCATAGTATGCATTTCGTACCTTGGACATATTTGTTTTTTTGAAAATACATATTGTTCACATCTTAAGGACAAAACTAAGACAAAAATAAAAGATGGTATAACTTGCCTTTAGCAATTTCATACATGGTCTGTTTGGTTTCCTTTTGCTCATTTTCTTCCAATAGTACTCCTTCTTTTTTATGTGTCTCAGACTCATTTGTTTCCCCTTCCTTCACAAGTGACCTGGGCAAAAACCAAAAAGGCAGTCCTGCAAGAAGATTCACTAATCCACAAATCAAAATGCCCAGCCACCACGCTCCAACCCAGCGGACATCAGTAGGTGTTATAGTTAGCTCCCCTAAAAAGGAAACAAACAAACAAAGCAATGGCATCTCAATTAGTTTATAAATAATTTTTCTTTCATTCTTTGTTTTTCTGATCACCTCTGATGTATTTTATTAAAAGCACTTTAAACATTTAAACTGAAACTGACAAAAGAGAACAATTCTCCAATCTTCTACTTATTCATCTAGCAAATTTCATCATTTCAACCGTTTGTGCTAAATTAATTTTAGCCTTTTCCTATCTTAACCCAGATGATGCAATCATTCATCAAATAATTTATATTCAGATTCATTCATGTGTGTGTGAACTCAAGGCTTTTATTGGATTGAATATCACATTGGCTTTTTCCATTCTAAAATACCAGCAAATTAAAATGAATATACTTCATATTTGAAGTTAATTCAGAACTTCATATTGCTGGTTGATAGACCATTATGCCTACTGATTTACATAAAAGATTTTATATATTCAGTGTAAGATTTTACATATTAATCCATCACCTGCATCTACAGATTCCAGATCAACAAACAGTTTTGCACAGAATGATGCCAACAAGAAACCAAGAAAGGGGCCAATTACTGTTGCAGTATGTAGACAACCTAGAATATGAAAAGAGAAAACATGCAAAATCAAAACACAGACATAAATACTTTCCTGAAGTAATTCTAGATGCTTAGGATAGCTGTACTGGATAAACCTTTAGAGCAAAAAATGACATTATTTCAACAAATAGTTAAATTACAAGTTCTACAGTACTACTGCTTCAATTCGATTTAATTCAAACTGCACTGTGTAAATGCGGTAATGTCTTTCTTCTCTCTTCTTCACTTTTGTTTACTTTCATGCTTTACTTTCATTTTACTTAGCATGATAGGAAAGTTTTACCCTGGTAGAAAGGTGAATTCTCTGTTTTGGCAAAATCTTCCAAATACGAAATGCCTAAAGGCATGATGGGAGTTTCACCCATTCCTCGTATTAAGTTTCCAACCATCACAAATATCCACAGCAATGACCCAGACTCCTTCTCACACTCTGTGAATAGAAAAGAAACCAGAATTAATGCTTTGATTCTACCAGTTACGTTCTAGAGATGCAGACAACAGCTAACTGACAGTTTAAACTGTGATTAGTAGATCAGTCCTCTAAGACATGGATATAAATAGTTGCTATACTCAAAAGGCTCCAGAACAAAAAGAAGCTATTGCACTTCCTGGAGTAGAATTCAAATCCCTTCTGTCTCCATGCCACATCTTGTCTAAACACCTGTCAGTCCAATCACTGCATAAACTAGGACTCTTCCTGTACTCGTTTCCCTCATCAAAGCTACCATTTCTCTGACAGATGTAAGAAAAATACCCCTGAACAACAGTGATATAGGGATAAATTTATCTTGTCTTACAGATGAAGGTTTTTCCAACATCCTTTTCTGTTTCAAGATTAGTGCTAACTTGCCTTAAAGTGAGGCAGGTCTCCAAAAATTTAATGCAATGCAAGCAAATCTTGGAATGGCAAAAATAATTTACATTTACTAGGTACAACTGCTATTTTCATCTTACACTAATATTATGCCATATGTTTCATATCAAATTAAACAGCAACATGGACACTTATACCTACATTTTTCATTTAGAAAAAGGCTATTTTTAAAAGGTTTTCTTGCCAGTTCATAGCATGTCTCTGCAGTTTGATCATCTCAGCAGTTTGACCATCGATTTACTATGGTCAAACTGCTGAGATCTCATATGGGACATGTTTAGGATACTGGAAATAAAACACTTTGTTTCAAACTTTCTTAATTAAAAAAAAATAAATTGCTAGAATTGATTTCTTAAATGAGAACAGTTTACTTTAAAAAAAAAAAAGAAAGAAAAGAACAATAAGAATGTATGCCTTTTCATATTCTTCTACAATATTCCAAAGAAAGGTTTTTCAACTTTCTTCAAGTTTATGCCATAATTAGTGATGTAGTAAAGACCAAGCTTTCAGTGGTCTCCCTTAGAATAGAATTATATTCTGTGAGAGGTCTCCCTCTCGTAGAATTAAGGCTGGAAATGACCTCTAAGCTCATCTAGTCCAACCATCCTCTTACCACCAATATTAGCTACTATGCCACGTCCCTCATTGTGACATCTACCCATTTCTTGAACACCTCCAGGAACAGCGACTCCACCACCTCCCCAGACAGCCTATTCCAGAGCCTGACTTATCTGTTTGAAAATAGGCTATTCCTAATATCCAAACAGAGCCTCCCCTGATGCAACTTAAGGCCATTACCTTTCATCATATCAGCAATCACATGGGAGAAGAAGCCAAACCCTACCTCGCTACAACCTCCTTTCTGGTTGTACACTTGGCCATCTGGGCACACTCCTGTCTCATGTTCAGCTGAGCACTGACTAGCACCCCCAGATTCTTCTCCTCCAAGAAGGTGAGAGCAGTGCAGAAGTAGTGTTGTTCTACGCTTGCATTAAACAAAATTCCTGAAATTTCTAGCTTCTTTGTCTTCTTTCATACTGATAGCTGGATTCAGATTGATCACTTCTAATTTTCTGAAGTTGATAAGCCTCCAGAAAAGCATATAGAGAATAAATTCTCTATAAATTCTCTATAAATTCTCTCTGAGAATTTAGCAAAGCCTTTGTAGCCTCCCAAGACAAGCTACCAAGGAAGCCCAGGCAGTTCAGACTAAATGCTTCCCTCTGAGGTAGTTGAATACCAGAGAGATTAATCTCATCCTCAGTGTGAGGATTTCATGTTGTCTCTGTCGCTTTTGACTTCACAGTAGTTACTTTTATGCATATACTATTGCCAGTGAACATGCATGTTTCAGTCACCCAGGTAAGTGTCAGCCTAGTTTATGTTATTTCATCTTTTCTTTAAAAAGATTTGGGAGCTTCTTTTTGTGTTCTATCTCTGTTTTTCATTACTTTATATCTTGTGTGGTACAGTAGAAAAAAAAAAAAAAAAAAAAAAAGAACTTAGTTCCTTCCACCCATTGTCCAATTAATAATTTCTCACCTCCTTACAGTGTCATAGTATTTCGAGTTTTAAAAAAGGAACGTTTCTAAGAAAAATCTCATGTTATATGTCTCTGAAGTGGAATGATAAGGATATTAACCAAGCTGTTTGGATGCTGTGGAAAATGCATGAAATGGAGCTACAGCTGTGGAGTCACAGGCTAAGAGAGAACAAGGCAAAAACTAAAAAATATAAATAAAAGTGAGCTAATAAAAAAATACTATTTACTTAAACACTGTAAAAACTGAGTGAGAAGTAGTTGTAGACACAGGAAAAGTCATACCCTTTGATGGTTCCTCTGTAGGTAAAGAGAACAAGCTTTGGTTAAGATGGCACAGAGGCACAACTGAAGAATTCTCCTGTGGTGAAACGCTGCTTTCAATATGATACCTGTTTGAGTCAAAGTAAAACATGTACAGATAGAGAACAAATATATGAGTGAGGAGCCTCATAAATCTGTTTCATGAAGCTACCTGAAAGAGGGACATGCAGCTATAGCAAGAAGGAAATCCACTTCAAAAGTTAACTCAGAATTTATAACAAATCAGACTAGGAACAAAAGAAACCAATGCAGTGTTTGATCTGGACAGTCTCTGACATAATTTTGTAACAGATGTTTCAGAGAAGATGATGAAATACCTTTATGAAGTCCCTCATATCGTCTTTTCCCCTCTTCTCCCTTCATTCTAATCCAATTTACACCTTAAGCAGAGGGTGCCACTGGGGCTGTCAGCCATACCACATTGGGTGTAACTAGAGGGCCTTCTTTTCTCCAAAATTAATCTCACTGATTAGAAATTAGACAAGCCTAAATGACTATTTTGTTAAATCAAGAGGAAAAAAAAAAAAGTGAGAAAGGGGCTAAAAAGTCATTATGGTCCATAAAGGCCTTGCCAATGCAGCGTTCAAGTTTGATGTCTCAGCCAGGGTCCAGACCAAAGGCATTTGAAAATCATCTTGGATTGTATGTTCAAGTAGATAAGATGTAGTAGTGCAGTGTGACTGCATTGTATTTTCAGAAATTCCATGCAAGTGGTAGTACAAGAAGTAAGACAAGGAATAGCAAGGCAAGACAAGGCAAGATGCCCAGCAGAGTGGTGACAGTCCTCAGAAATGATGGCTGACTTTTGAAGCCATCTCATAAGCAAAACAATCAAAGTTGCTCTGCAACTGTTTCATCACCCTCATGCTCAGCAATTCCTCACTCATTAAGTAATCACATTCCAGTAGGAGGAGTTGCATATTAAAGCATGTAAGGATCACAAGAAACTGTTGTGATTTAACCAAATATGGCAGCTCCAGCCCAGGGCTGCTCCCTAAGGGTTCTTTAAGGTCTGAAGCTCCTTCAGACCTCATCCTCTGCTTCACCACAGTCTGCTCCATGTTTGCATGGGCAAACCTGCTCCCTGGTGCCCATAGGCTGCAGGGAGACTGCCTACTCCACTGTGGGCCTCTACAGGGCTGTAGGGAGTTTCTGCTCCTCACCTCGAACACCTCTCACCTTCCTTGATGCCTGTAGGGCTGCTTCTCTCCCATTTCTCACTCCTCTTTCCCAGCTGCTGTTGCGCAGCAGTTTTCCCTGTCCTTAACTCTGCTCCCTCAGGGACACAACTAGAGTAATTCCTGGCTCAGCTCTGGCAGTGGCAGGTCCCTTTTGCAGCAACTGGAGCTGTATGAGATGGGGCAGCTCCTGTTATATTCTCACAGAGGCCACCCTGCAGCCCTCCCTCTGCTAACAAAGCCTTGGCCCGCAAGCCCAGTATACCGAAATACTCACCTTCCAAATAGGAAATGAGGAAATGATGTCAAAAAACAGCCAAATGCAAAAACTGTGCAGCCCAAAGCAATTACTTTGGGTCTGTGAAACTTTCCTCCAAAGTAACTGACAAATGCTATCAGCAGCAGGTTACCTGCAAAAAGAACCTGGTTTGTATTTACAAACAAAGGCATTCTTTTACCTTTTAAATCCAAGAGCAATTCTCATTATATGTTGTTAGCTCAACATCCATTACTTCTCCTATAAACCTATAAAGACTGTAACTAGACAGGGAACTGGTTAAGTGGTGCAGTAATACCCTTCTATCTGTGATATTCTTCTGAAAGACTTAACACCACATGAGAAGAACTTGAAAATAGGAGGCAGAATAGAAAAGCGATTATGGTGAAAGAGGAGGTTTTTGAACACACCTGTGTAGAGAAGAAATTTCTCACAACTTTATGTAGAGATTAGGCCCAGGACTACAAAATAAGAGCTGCTTTGGAAAGTTACTCTCTTGGGATACTCTATTTAGCAATGTGTAGGAAAGTATGTATTCAGAGATATATATTCAAGTGTTTCTGTACTGAAAATATTAAACATGAGATGACATTCCAAGAAAAGAGGAATAATAAATTGATATTAATTTTAGTAATAATTTAAGAGGAATAAAGAGATTTTGTAACTAGTGCCATTTCAAAATTCAAATGAGATCAAAAAAACTGGAATGTCTCCTCCTCTACTTTCACAGTGCAACTAAGAGATATCTGAAGTCTTATACCATAAATTAAGTCCTGCAACAGTAAAAATTTGCTAACTGTTCAACTTCTAATTTTGTGATCGTTTTATCGAAACAGTGAAACCTTATCAATGACTGGTGAGCATAATGTTCTGAAAGAAAACAGCATCTTTTTTTATGTACTATTGCTAAACTGACTGCATTGAACCAGTAGCTTGAATGAAAGTTGAATAGATGTATTTGTACAGTCCTAATAAGATCTTATGCCTACGCTTGCACAGTCTTAATAAATACTTCATGCCTGGCACATACACTGATCTTTAATCATTTTAAATGTTAATATGATGATTCGTAGTTACTTTACATTCCTGGAAATATGAACACCACAACTTGCTATAGAAAAATGTATACGAAAAGATGATCTATTTAAAATAACAAGGTTTTTACTTAATCATATTTTTATATAATTAATCTCAGCGATTTAATATTTCTTAAACTCTCCCTTTTCAAAAGCAAGAATATATTTCTGGGTATTCAGTCTCTGTCATAACACCGAGTTGCCTGATAAGACTGCTTTGCAGGCAGCAGCATGGTGTCACAAACAGTTTCTCCTACTTGAATATGCTGAAAAGGGCCTTGTGTCTCCTACTCACCTGTGTGGACTAGCCTCTGCAGGTCATTTCCTCAGTCGAGCCAGAGATTGTAAAGATCCAGACTCCAATTTTAAGAGTGTAAAACATGCTTCGACGATCTCCTCTGAATTGGGTCTGAAGCTCTTAAGTCTTTTGTGTAGCTTTTGTGGCAATGGCAAGACTTAAGCCTGTCACTGTGCAGTGAAGCTCACTGATAGATTTGAGGGGCACTAACAGTAGAAACCTTATTTACAGTTACATGGGTGTAAAAACTTAAAATACTATTGAGTTTGAGTAAGGAGACAATCCACTTCAACCAACTTTGAGGTCACTGATTAAAAAGAACTGTAAAAATACTGACGTGAACTTACATTCAAACTGGGTCTATGCAATCATTCTGTTTTTGTTATTTATTTATTTAGTATAAAGCTTATTAAATAGTTCTGGTTTGTTAGTTGCTCTGTCATAGTGTGAGAGTGTACAAGTTAGCTAAACCAACCTCTAATCCTAAACATCCTCATATAAGTTGTCGTGTTATTTTCCAAGATACTCATATGTAAGTACTAACACAGGCAGTAGAAGAAAGTTGGTCACTATGCTGTTGCAAACACCCACTGACAGATTGCTGATGGGCATGAGAGTCACTAATACATAGTCAGCCAACATTTTACATATTCAAAGAAAAAGAAATATTAAAATGAGTAATTACCAATTTCAAAGCTTCCATTAATGATCCCCACTAAAGATGCAGGAATATTGAATTGCTTCTCTATCTGTGTGAACATGCTGTTCAAGTAAGCACCAGTCATCGTTTTACCAATAAATGCAAGTGACAGCGCCAGCAGAAATAACTAGGAAGGGAAGAGTAGATTGGATGAATTCAAAATTATGTATTTAGGAATTTACATGGTTGTTTTCCCACCAGAGATGTGCTTCTAAGTAAAACAATTCAATACTTTCTGATCTACTTATAGAGGAATACAATGTGAACTCAAATCCCATTAATTAGCTTTGTCCACAGAGTTACGGCTTCACTGAAACAAAAAGGAAAATGAGGACATAATTTGTTCTTCACCTGCTCCCAGTTACCAAGACTCCAAAAAGCTTAATCCCCACTTGCCCAGGCGCAGTGCAGCCTCACCCAACGGGACCCTGCTGCAAGATTTCCCTCTGCAGGACTGTGGAAAACCTGCAGCCTGAGGACATAAAGTTTCCTGCGCTGGGTGCAAAGCTCTTGGCACTACACTTATCGCAGCAATTGGTAGGATTCTTGCAGAATTAAGATCGTTGCCTTTGATAGAATTACTCGATTAAGCAGCTGTTCTGTCTCATCAGTAGAGGTTATGAGCCAATTTCAAACATAGACAGTAAAAAGTGTGTCTTTTCTGACAAGAATCTGGTAGTAAGTGACCATGAGAAAAAAAAAAAAAGAGAGAAAGTAAAATTATATATATATACACTGCAGCATTCAAATGCTTTAAATTTTAGGGTTATTAATAAACATTACTTGTGAAATGAAATCAATAATATTTTTAAATACATCTACTATGATAGCTAAAAAGCATGGGTAATGTATTTGGGCTTTGAATCCCTTTTACATCAAGCTATTTTTTATCTCTTTATAGTGCTTCTTGACAAGCTGAATAGTCTGAGGTTACAACCACAGCCATTTTTTACTTCCATGTCACTACTGGCTCATTTCACAAGTCTATAAACAAATGGTAATCGTGCCAGACTAGAGGGATCACACAAGTTCAGAGGTGGAAATTCAAAGGAGCAATCAGGCATATCTCTAACACATCACAGAGTTCAGGGACGTAAAAAGCAACGTATTTGGTTTCAAGTTTGCTTGAACTCAGTGTTCAAAGCATTAACGATAAGAAACAGACTGTTCATTCATTTATTCTAGATTTTAACTCCTACTGAATGACTGTGAGTGCAAGTAACTGTGGCTCTGCTCATACAAAATTGTGAAAATATTTCTGTACCGTAAGCCTGGAAATGCCGCAGAATTTGTCGTCTGCACGTGGTTTCCGAGTTTCTTTCATGTTGCCTTTTTGAGTCAGTCCTGATGTCTGAATCTGCCTACTGATCCCTTTATAGTGTTAAAAAGACAAAAGAAAAAAAAAATTGGCCTATGTTTGCAAAAAGTAAAAAATAAAAACAGCATTTCTCCTGAGATACCTCATATTTGATCATCTTCTTTAAATAATTGTAAACCAGTCTAACAGTAGTGGATTCCAACAGAACCTATAAGCATATGCATGTACATTTTCTGATTGAGAAAACTTGACCAAAAAAAACATTGACATAACAGCGAACTATTTCACATCAGATGCTCAATGCTATCAGCACTATACAATCAATGCTTTCAGCATTGTCTCACAGCATGTAATGATGAACTCAAAGTATGGTGAGATGACACCTGAAGGAAGATAAAAGTATGAGAAGATCAATGAGACAGATGCATGAAACTGTATAAAAATGGTGAAAAATGGCCACAGGCCAACCAGAAGGTAAAGAATGGAGAAAAGAATCTTAGGAAGGCAAAGTAGTTTGTAACTGTTCTCAATACTGCTTCTCAATCTTCTTCACAAGCATTTGGATTGAACACTGTGGGAGGTAACACTCTGAACATTTGTATGCCTGGCTGACACATGTCTTCTGTGGTCTTTCCCACCATCCCTGTCCCTGCTAGCCATACAAAAGACACTTCGTTCTGCTCTGCACGTTCTGTTGAGTTATCAGCTCTTCCACTTGAACCAATGTAAGTTCATTAATTTTAGTAAAAATTGGACTGAGGCCTAGTTTCTTGGCATTAAAAGCATTACAACAACAGAAGTAGAAGTAGAACAACAGAAAACCACACACACACACACAAAGAAAAAAACAACAACCACACCATAATAATTTATCTCAAGTTATGAAAAAAAAATTCCTCCCTGCCTACATTTAGTCATTTCCACCTTAGGTTCACGGTTAGTGCTTCTCATACTGCTAAGCCACGTGCTTTCTTACACATTTTACCAATTTCCCAAAACTTTATTTAAAGAAGGAGCAATATATTCCAGGGACTTGGAATATAGTGACCTCTAAAAGCCACTCCACAGAGTGGCTGCATTCCACAGAGAGTGCTGCATTCCACAGAGAGTTAAACATAAAGAACATCAGTCAAAGGATCCTAAGGACTACCAGAAGGAATGCATTAAATCCAGTTATTCACTACAGTTCCCTACTGCCTGATGATGTAAGCTGAAGAAAACCAGAGCAAGTCAGAGCCCTACCTTACAGCCGGAACAGATAGAGGCTCATTTCCCCTTTTTCCTCTTAGATGCGCTTTCAAAGTTCTACCTTGCAACAATTGCTCTTCTTAATATGTTCCACTTCATGGCTAGGAAGCAAGCTGCCCTTGACAAGTCTGCCAATAGAACTCAATTGCCCTTTTACATTCTTCAGCCCAACACCCTCTCAGCCAATCTTTTCACACACTAATTTCTACAACAATGTTAATCCTCTCAAATGTATTTCTTCATTAACTTGATTCTTGGCAAATTCACGGGCATGAACTCCTTCCATAGCCCGCCGTACACTTCCAGTCTTCAAAAGAGTAACACATTATTGTACTGTTCCTGGAAATAATTTAAAATTAAGTGTAGTTGATCAGCAACTGAGACAATTGATTCTGTTTTATAGTTTGTACTTCTGCTTTGTTCACGGGTGTTTACTTGTGCTGTGTTTTGTCATTAGTATTAAAATGTTTGTGGAACAAGCAGGGAATAAGGCCTAGCACATACAAATCCACGAAAGACTGGTCCTGCTTGACCAACCTCATTTCCTTCTATGATCAGGTGACTGCCTTATGGGTAAGGGAAAGGCTGTGGATATAGTCTACCAAGACTTCAGCAAAGCCTTTGTACCCTGTCTTCCACAGTATTCTCCTGGAGAAGCTGGCAGCCTGTAGCTTGTACTGGTACAGTCTTTGCTGGGTAAAGAACTGGCTGGATGGCTGGGCCTAGAAAATAGTGTTGAATAGAGTTAAATTCAGCTGGCGACCAGTCACAAGTGATGCTCCCCAGGGGTCAGTACTGGGGCTGGCTCTGTTTAAGATCTTTATTGATGACCTGGATAAGGGAATTGGGTGCACCCTCAGTAAGTTTGCAAATGACACCAAGCTGGGAGGAAGTGTTGATCTTCCATGGAGTAGGAAAGCCCTACAGAAGGATCTGGACATTTGATCAATGGGCTGAGGCCAATGGGATGAGCTTCAACAAGACCAACTGTCGGGTCCCACACTTTGGTTCCATGCAGCGCTACAGGTTTCAGGCAGACTGCCTGGGGTATTAGTCAACAGCCAGCTGAACAAGAGCCATTAATGTGCCCAAGTGGCCAAGAAGGCCAATGGCATCCTGGCTGGAATGTATGTATCATGTGCTGCCAGCAGGACCAAGGAGGTGATAGTTCCTCTGTACTCAGCCCTGGTGAGGCCACACCTTGAGTACTGTGTTCACTTTTGGGCCCCATCACTGCAAGAAAGACACTGAGGCCCTGGAGCATGTCCAGAGAACAATAAAAATGGCGAAGGGTCTGGAGTGCAAGTCTTGTGAACCAGGATTGTTTAGTCTGGAGAAGAGGAGGCTCGGGGGAGACCTGTCTACAACTGTCTAAAAGGGGGTTATAGTGAGGTGGGGGTTCTCGTAGGTAACTGGTGATAGGAAGAGAGGTAATGGCCTTAAGTTGCACGAGAGGAGGCTCTGTTCAGATATTTTAAAGTTATTCTTAGAAAGAGAAGTTGAGCACTGGAACGGGCAGTCCAGGGAAGTGGTGGAATCACTATTCCTGAAAGTGTTCAAGAAAAGGATAGATGTGGAATCAAGGGGCTTGGTTTAGTGGGCATGGTGGCTGCAGGTTGACTAAATGATCTTAGAGGTCTTTTCCAACCTTAATGATTTGATGATTTCACAGCAAAATATGCTTATACAGCTTTGCATCTTCTCAGAAATTTTGCATTAGACTTTGGATCACAATGAATCTTTTATGCCTTTTCTTAATATTAATGTGCTTTATTCAGACTGTAGTACACATGACATGTTAAAAGATGAGCAAAAGATGTCAAAAGACTGCAGTCCCTATATCTGTCTTCTTCTGCTCCTCAGAGTTGGCAATAAGATTCTGTTGCTTATTGTACCAGTCCCTGCATTTCACTAGTGCTTATGGGACACATCATCTGGCTTTACAGGTTTTTCTTCTGGTGCTAAAGTTACTGGTCCTGAGTTATTTCCTTCACTTGGGGCATCCAAAACATCACACTGCCTATCATTTGATTAGTGAAGATAATGTTTGCTTTCACTTATTATTACCTCCCTTCAAAGCATGAATTATTGCAGAAAAAAAAATCATTTTGACTTCTGTTTGACTGGGAAGATTATTAAGTGTGTGAACTGATTAACAAAATAGACAGAATGATGAACACCAGTTGTGTTCCTGAGGTTGCTTTCCTCAGCTTTAAATTATTTTTTGTCACATTTGGTCAAGCAGAGCTGAAGGCAATATAATCCAAGATTCTACATCAAGGAGATATAAATGTATAAATCATTTAGTTTAGGTGTATTTATATTACAGTTTAAAACCACTTTACAACTCACACTGCAGTTTCTACGACTAAAGATGAGCCAATAGTGTTCTCTATCCTGTCTCCCATCTCTCTGCAGTGCACTTCCATTGCTTATTTTTTACTTCCTGGATCTTCTGCAAACCTCTAGCTCATTAAATAGGCAGAAAAAAAACCAACTGGTTTCCAGGTAGTGAACTGATTTGGTCCACTGAGTGGTTCAGCAAGTGTCAAGAAAAAGTAGGAATGTGGAACAAAGAACTTGAGAAGAGAGGAGAAAGTGAGGATGAAAGCAAAGTAGGAAAGGGTGAAGAGTGCCTATCTGAGCACCAGTGATGCATTGGGTCACCTCAAATATTTGTAGAGGAATGATCACAAGCCCTAACCTTAGCTGCCCAGGCCAGCCCTGAACACAACCCTAGAATCAGCACAGTTGTAAGGAAATTATCTCCTTCAGTGAGCATCTGTCAGCATTTCTTTAGCCAACAGCAAGATGAGAGACAGCTTATGCTGCAAGGATATTCACACAGGGGCTAAATTTTGGAACAAATTGCTTGGGAAGTTTGTGTGGGCCAGGTGAGACTGTATTTATCCAAAAGTTTGCCCTCAGGTTCCAATTCACCTACCAGCTATAATGTAAAAACCTGCCCCTGAATTCTACTCCTAAGTCTGCAATATCCACTGAACTTTCAGGGAAGAGGTCAATAAAATCCCTTTTACAAGAACTTACTCCTTCCACTTCTGCACTGAGTTTGGAATACATTTATGAAGGCTAAGAATAAGTTAGAGGTAACATCACAACTTTTCCAGCCACCTCCACTACAGAACAGAATTTCCTTTCTCTCATCACAAGCAGGTCAAGAAAGACCAACAGAAATCAGCCCATCTGCAGAAGGCAGCCACTTTGCATGAAAAGCTAAAGAGCACAATGCAGATGGTTCCGCTACAGGCTGCATTTATAAATAAAATGTGTGAAGGATAGTGGATATAATTCAGCCTAAAATATAAAAGCATACATCTTGTGTGGATCAGAGTAGGCATAGGCTGTGTGGCTGACAGCAGACAGGCTACAGTTGAGAGGTGGGAATTTAGGCCTGTTTGTACTGTTTGTACACTAAATCCATAATCATGTTGCAGTTTTAAACAACATTTCACCTTAATGAACAAACAAAAAGGAGGGGATAAAAAAAGGATACATGTGGATTTCAAAGTCTTGGAAGCAATATTCTGCCAATTGCCCTCCCTGAGTCCCAGTGGACCAACTTATTTTCAGTGTAAAAACACATCCTTCATTTAACTCAGCTTAGTCATTTGGGTAAACAGATAAGTTCACATCTTGTTTACAAGTTGGACTAAAAAATAATGAAGTAACTAATTATTAGCAGAGGGCAAATAAAGTATCTGTCGGGACTTTTAAGTAATTTATCGTGGCAGTTGCAAAAAGCACTTTAAAATGTTGTTTCACTAAGCACAGTTCAAACTGTTAC